TTTGATGAGACCCTTTTCTTGGGTTGGGCTCTGATGGAGGAGGAGAGGGCAGCAAAAGAGGCCTGGGCGAAGGACAGCTCTGGCCATGCTGTTGGCCCAGCTGAGCGCTGCAGGGGTGCGCGGGCTGTGTGGGAGCTGGGATTAGTGTGGGGCAGGATCCATGAGAATAAGGGAAATGGAGTGGTGGAAATTTCCCCTCAAACCACTTTTTCCTCTGCAGCCAGTATCCCTGCAGAGGGGATGTTACCTTAAATGTTTAGGTTGGAACTGCTTGGGGACGAGGCTGAGGGTCGAAGTGTCAGGTGACAGCAAGGAGAGGAGACTCTTTCATGCTTTTGTTTGTTCCAAAGACACAGTCCCAGACTGTGCAGCCTGGGCCCTAAGGAGACCACAGTCTGGGGTGGGGGTCACTGTCCAGGCTGTCAGTGTGTGTTAGGGGACAGGGTGACCCCAGACGAGAGAGGCACTGACCGCCTGGGCAGTCAGGGAGGACATCACAGAGGAGGTGACATGGAGCTGGCGCCTTAAAGAGGAGCAGGAATTTGCTAGTCGAGAAGGAGAGGGTTGCCCCAGGTGGAAGAAGAGCAGAGGCAAAGGCTTGGAGGAGGGAGAGCAGGGCCACCCTTGTTCATTCAATCCACATGTCCCGTTGGGGACCCCAGATGAGTCAGAGCTGCCCCTGAGGGGTTTCTAGCCTGAAGGAGGAGACATTCTGGGGCCCAGATGGCTACAGCCTTTAGGACAGTGACAGGGGAGATGGAGCCAGGGTGGAGGGAACAGGGGAGAGACCCTCTGCCTGAAGTCATCAGGGGTGGTGACTTCACGGAGGACAGAGCCTGTGCCGGGCCCTGAAGGATGAGTAGGAGATCTCCAGGCAGATAGAGTGGGGAACAGCGTTCCAGGCAGAGGGACCAGCCCATGCCAAGGCCTCGGGAAACATTTGTTAAATGGCAGACAGACAGCAGGACAGAGGCAGGAACAAGTAAGAGACAGAGAGAGCTGCAGGGAAGGACGGACGCTCAGCAAACATAACCTGTTCTCTGAGCTGGGTGATGCCAGGGACCCAGCGCTGAGTCAGACCAGGCCTGCCCGCTGGGCTGGTGGGAAAGGACAGGGACGCAGGTGACCACAGCCCTGCGGGCTCGGGGCTAGGACGGCGAGAAGGCACGACCAAGGGAGGCTGCATTAGTTTGCTAGGGCTGCCATAACAAAGTACCCCAGACTGGATGGCTTAAACAACAGAAATTTATTTTCTCAAAATTCTGGAAGCTAGAAGTCCAAGGTCAAGGTGTCAGCAGGGTTGGTTTCTTCTGAGACCTCTCTCCTTGGCTTGAGATGGCCGTCAGCTCCCTGTGTCTTCACACGGTCTTCCCTTTGGGCATGTCCCTGTCTCAATCTCGTCTCAATCTCCTCTTCTTATAAGGACCCCAGTCATTATTGGATCAGAGCCCACCCTAAGGGCCCTAAGGGTCTCATTTTAAGTTCATTACCTCTTTAAAGATCCTATCTCCAAAGACAGTCACATTCTGAGGTACTGAGGGTTAGGACTTCAACATAGGAATGTTGGGGGACACAGCTCAGCACATAAGAGAGGCTGAGAATGAGCATGGACTCTCTGGGGTGGAGGTGAGGTCAGAGGCCACCCTGGTCTGTGATCAGGAGGGACGTTCGCTAGCTAGGTGGGGAGTAAAGAACCTGAAGGTCTGGACTCCCCGTCAAGCAGAGGGAGATACCTGGCGTGGCTGAAGAGAAAGTTGCGTAAGTGGCAAGAGATGGGCAGCAGAGGGTGACAAGGGTCACACCCTAAAGGCCAGGATGAGGAGCCTGGGCTTTTCTTAGGAGATGGGGAGCCATGATAGGGTTCAGGGCCAGGCGGGGAGCTCCCGTGGCAATGTGGACACTGGCTGGAGAGGGGGGCCGGGGAGGGGGCTGGGGCCTGGCTTTCAGGGATGCTGGGAGGGGTGGGATTTAGGGCCACGTCAGGATTTGTGGTTGCCTGGAGCAGGGCCAAGGTCTGGGAGATTTAGAACCAGGACCAGGCAGGACTCCCACGTCTGATGCACCAGAGTCAGGAGGGGGCCTCATCCCCTGGCTCTCTCAGCATCCTTAGCCACTTGCTGCCCCCTTCCCAGTGCCCAGAAACAGGGCCTGAGCTCCTGTAGCATCTGGGCACCTGCACCCCAACCCTCATAAGCTCATGCCTTAATAGGACTATATGCTGGCTTACTATTTTTATTGTTATTAGCTTAAAATTGTATTTATTTATTTGGTTGCTCCGGGTCTTAGTTGCGGCAGGCAGGCTCCTTAGTTGAGGTTGGCTGGCTCCTTAGTTGTAGCACGTGGGCTCCTTTAGTTGCAGCTCAAGGGCTCCTTAGCTGCGGCTTGCCGGCTCCTTAGTTGAAGCACATGGGTTCCTTTAGTTGCAGCTCAAGGGCTCCATAGTTGTGGCTCGCAGGCTCCTTAGTTGTGGTTCACAGGCTCCTTAGTTGTGGCATGAGTGTGGGATCTAGTACCCTGGCCAGGGATCGAACTCGGGCCCCCTGCATTGGGAACGTGGAGTCTTAACCACTGCACCACCAGGGAAGTCCCAACTCAAACTTTTTTTCTTTTTTTGTGAAAACATACCATACATAAAGTGCTCAAATTTTAAGCGTACAGCTTGATGAATTTTTACATATGGGCAGACCCACATAACCACCAAACAGAACATTTCCAACCCCTTGCAGGCTTTCTCACACGCTCTCCCAGTTAGCACCCCCCAAAAGGTGCCCACTAATCTGACCTTAATCATCTGATGTCATCCTGCCTGTTTCTGAGTTTCACATAATTGGAGTCCTCCTGTCTGTCCACTTTTGTGTTTCACGTCTTTACCCCGGCATCATGTTTGCGAGATTCAGTGTGTGTGATGCAGGAGTTGGTTCTTTTCCCCGGCTGTGGAGTACTTCGTTGTATGGACGTACCGGTGTTGTTGACCCATTCCCGTTAATGGGCCCTTGAGCTATTTCCGGGGGGCGGGGGGGGGGAGCGGTTATGAAAGCGCAGCTGGGAACACGTGTGCCGGGGGTGGTGATGGTGGGCAGGACGCTCCTTTCTCTTGGATGGGTGCCCGGGAGTGGATGTGCCGGGCCACAGGGAAGGGGCGCCGCTCGGCTTTCCTGAATCGTGCTTGTATTGATTTCCACTCCCACCAGCAGTGTGTGACCTGGCTTTTTAATCGGGAATTTTAAATCCGAGTGGCGTTCCGTGTCGAGTAATTGCAAAATTTCTGGACTTTTTTTTTTCAGTTGGTGACGCTGTCCCAGCTCTCTCTCTAGCTGGCCTTCTTTGAATATCTTGGATGCAGGCACACTAGAGTTGGATAGCTCCTTTGATGGGGTGGGATCTTGGTGGGGATTTGGAGTGAGCTGTAGGGGAGACTTTAGGGTCAGAGTCAGGGTCAGGAGTAAGGTCTGAGGCCGAGTTGGGAGTTGAGGTCAGATGAAGGACTCGGGTCGTCTGGACAGGAGTTGGGAATCAGGGTGGGCAAAGAGGATTCAGAACGGGTCGGGCAGAAACCCAGATTTGTGCGGGGGTCTAGGACCAGGAAGGGCTGGGTTCAAGTCGGAGTCAGGGTAAGCTTGGGTTGGGGTGACCGTGAGAGATGAGGTGGTGAACGTCATGACGGGCCCATCAGAGACCGCAGCGATACTGATCAGAAGTGGGAGCCCTGGGGCCTCCCTGGTGGCGCAGTGGTTGGGAGTCCACCTGCCGATGCAGGGGACGCGGGTTCGTGCCCCGGTCCGGGAGGATCCCACATGCCGCGGAGCGGCTGGGCCCGTGAGCCATGGCCGCTGAGCCTGTGTGTCCGGAGCCTGTGCTCCGCAACGGGAGTGGTCACAACAGTGAGAGGCCCACGTACCGCAAAAAAAAAAAAAAAAGAAGTGGGAGCCCTGGAGTCACAAAGACCCAGGTCCGATCAGGGTGCCTCTGCTGCCCCACTGTGTTCTTGGGGAGGTGCCATTCCCCCTGGAGCCTCAGTTTCCTCCTCTGTAAAATGGGGGTAATCTTAGCACCAACTGCCTGCATGAGCTCTGAATCATACTTGGCGCTGTGCTTGGCCCTGGTAACACTCACCTTCCCGTGACCAGCATCAGGGAGCTGTGAGGACGGGGGTTTGTCTCCATTGCTTTGTGTCCCCTGCTTGCCACTCCCCTCGGCCACCTTCTTTCATTTCCTCTGCCCGCGGAACTATAGGGTGGGATTGCGTCTGTAGGGGCAGGGACTGTAGGTTGGATTGGGGTGTGCAGCTGCAATTCAAGGCTGAAGTCCCAGGTAAGGTCTAAGATTAGGTTTGAGGACAAGGTCGGGGCAGAAGCGGATGGGGTCGGGGTCACAAAGATCAGAGTGGGGCCACCTGTGTGCTGAGTACCTGAAGGGGAGGCCGGTGGGAGTGGGATATGGACAGGAAAGTGGTGGGCCGGGGAGGGGGCCAGAGGGCGGCTGAATCACAGCCGGAGATCTGACAACTCGTTCCTTTGGGGATGCTGCAGTCCCCTCACACCTCCCAGGCCCTACTCAGAGTGGAAAACATGCCTCACCGAAACCTGGTGAGGCAGGATGGGCGCCTGGGCGGCAGCCTGAGAGGAAGCCTAGGGCTGACTCGCTGCTCTGGAGTGTCACCAGCCTCCCCCTGGGCGGCCAGAGCTTTGTCAGGACCAACGGCCAACCTCTACCCTCCCACCCTGCCCCAGGGTCTCACGGGGGCTCGGGGGCTGACCCTCCCTGTGCCACCTCCTGGAGGGGTGAAGGGGATCCCCAGGGCCCGAAGGCCCCTCACCTGTCCTGCCGGAGGAGAGCAGAGGCTCAGAGCAGAGGGCATGTCTCCCGGAAAGAGACACTTGCAAGGCAGCAGGGGGTGTGGGAGTATTTGGGGAGAGGCTGGGGTGGTGCCGGAGGAGGGGCCCCAGAGCTCTTCAGGCTTCTGCACCCTCACCCCACTTGCATCCCTCCTCTGTCCCCAGAAATAAGAATGTCTAAGCCCTTGGAGGCCGAGAAGCAAGGTCTGGACTCCCCGTCAGAGCACACAGGTGAGTGGGGAAGGGGGCAGGGAGGGCAGAGGTCACCACGGGCGGAGGGCAGGTGCGCCGGGGGAGTTTTGGGGGTGGCTCGTGACAACTCACTCTGTCCCTCTCCTTGCAGACACGGAAAGAAATGGACCAGACACTAACCATCAGGTCAGGAGGGATGGATGTGAAGGAGGGTGGGGAGGGGGAGGGGGGAGAAGGGAGCAGAGGGGAGCTCTGTGGGGGAGGGCAGGGTGTCAGAAGCTGCTTCATCTCACTGTTCCCATCTCCCACCCCAACTCACTCTTTGCAGAACCCCCAGAATAAGACCTCCCCGTTCTCTGTGTCCCCGACTGGCCCCAGCACCAAGGTAAGCACCTGTCAGGGCAGCCAGGGCAGGGGGAGAGGTGTCCTGCGATGGGCCGGGTTTGGCATTTGGGAGAGGGTCGCAGATGCCTGCCGAGGGCCCAGGGCCTGGTACCTCAGTGACGGGACTCCTCCCGCCGCCCCTTCTCACCCTCGGGCTCCCGCCCCAGGCCTGTGACTCACCAGGGCTCCTTCCCCTTCCCTGGGGGAGTGGGGGTGGCCAGGGAAATCCCCCCCAGAGCCCCAGGGCGATGAACAACAGGAAGCTGAGGGCCCCGCCCCCATCCCAACGTCCCTGACCGAACAGGGGCCGGCCCCGCCCCCCATCCCCCCAGTACACACTCAGGGGCCAGCGGAGGACTGGGGAGTGGGGAGGGGAGGGCAGGCCCAGTGAGGATGCTGGAGGAGAGGACGATGGGTAGGCCGGAAGTGACCACGTAGAGCAAATGCCAGATCCAGATGGGGCCCTGCTCCTGGGCACTGCTGGGCTGCCTGGGGTGTCTGGGGCCCAGGTCTCCACCCTCCAGTCTGGCGGGGGCAGCCGGCAGGTCCAGAGGCCTGAAGATGGCGCAGAGGGCAGGGACGGAGGAGGGGGCACGGGCAGGACTCCTGACCCTGACCAAAGGTGGCAGAAGGATGGGGCGGGGGCACCAGGAACTGCTCTGTGACCATGGGAGAATCACTCCCCCACTCTGGGCTTCTCGGTTTCCTCTTCTCTAACATGGGAAATGGGGGTGGGGGTGGAGAGGGGAGTCTCTGAGGTCCCTTCCGTGGCTGGTGTGCCTTGATCTACTTGGTGGGCAGGTGTCTTGTTCTGAGGGCGCTGGACGGGACCTGGGGAGAAGGGCTCTGACTCTGACCGTCTTCCCTCTGATCTCAGGCTGGGCTCTGGCCATAGCCCTTGGAGCCGAGGGCATCCATCACCCACACCCCCAGCACCAGCCCTCCCTGCGCTGAATCTTTGCAGCCTCTCCTTGCTCCACAGCAGCCCTGCTTCTCCCCTAGGAGACTAGTGGGGCCCAAGGAAGAAAGGGTTCTCGCTCCCCTTCCCCAGCCTGGGCCTGCTTCCCGGGGAAAGCCTGAGGCAGAGCGCGCAGCAGCGGCCTCTGACTCTGGGTCTCCATCCACAGCTGGTCACCCACCGCTCCTGGCCTTTGCTGTTCCACCTCACTGCAGCTCTTCTGTGTCAGTCTTTCCCTAATTGCAGTGATTCATGTGCTTCCATCATGATTTCAGACAAATGCACACACCACCGCGTTCAATTATTTACATCATAGTTTTGTTAAATTGGCTCAATTAAAAAAAAAATTTTATTATGGAAAGTGTGAAGCAGATACAAAAGTAGAAGGAAGACCATAGCGAAAACAAACCTCCAGGTACCTGTCAATCGGCCTCAACAATTATCAACTCATGAGCTGTCTTGCTTTTTCAGCAGCTGAAATAAAACGTTTTTTTAAATGGAAATTTCATGAATGGAAAACCAGAATCACTTGCCATGGAAATAAATACAATGATTATTAAAATGTACCCAGAGACTCTTGCCTACTGTCGGGTATAAGCCTGAGACCGGTTCTCTGTTTGTTAAAAGGGGCGATTAGCCAGGGCTGGAAGGTGTTAGAGACGTCCTAGAACCTAATGGAGGCTTAAAGGAGAGAGAAGGAAAGAGCCATGAGAAGGATAGTGTTCTCACCATGGCACGCAATGTTGGTTTTTTTTTTTTTTTTTTTTTTTTTTTTTGCGGTACACGGGCCTCTCACTGTTGTGGCCTCTCCCGTTGCGGAGCACAGGCTCCGGATGCGCAGGCTCAGCAGCCATGGCTCACGGGCCCAGCCGCTCCGCGGCGTGTGGGATCCTCCTGGACCGGGGCACGAACCCGTGTCCCCTGCATCGGCAGGCGGACTCTCAACCACTGCGCCACCAGGGAAGCCCACAATGTTGGTTTTTTAAAAACTTTTAATTAAAATATGACATACACTTAGATCCTCAGTGTCCAGCTCTGTGGATTTTCACAAATTGGACACCTGTGTCACCAGCACCAGATCAAGAAACATAACATGATCAGACTTCCGGAAAGCCCTTCATTTCCCCTCCAGGGCAGCCACTGCTCTGACTTCTAGTATCTACTGTTGTTTCACGCTGCATCCCTGTACGCCTTAGACTTTCTGACACTTGTATCCCGTCCCTTGGGGCATGCCACTCACCCTCTGTTATTTGGCCCTTTCCCAGGCCTCTATCTGTCTGTCTCAGTCTGTATTGCAAATGCCACGCTCGCTTCTGCCAAGTCACTGTGTTGCCTTACACAAGATGCTTTCCCTCTCTGGATCTCCTTTTGCAAAACACTGTTGGGACACTGGGCTGAAGGATGATCCCTCATGTCCCCTCTGGGCCTAAGAGTGTGCGACTCATCAAGCCACACCTCCCACCCCATGTGTCTTTCACCAGCAGACCTCTCAGGCATAGGCCACCATTGTCTGGCATTTTCAGGTAGGAGAGGAAGAAGGCTGGGACCCCTCTAAGCTGGTCTGTCCTACGTGGTGGACGCGAGATGCATCTGTATCCTCCACAGAGAGAGGAGGAGGGGCTCAGCGGACTCTGGGGTGGAGGCTGAGAGCTGGCAGCACCTGGGCCACATCTGGCCTGCAGACATCCTTTGCTGTCCTGCAGCATTTTTGCTTTGGTTTTTTTGCCGGCAGAAGCAGGGTGGGGCTGGGCAGGCCTCCCCTTCCGGCAGGCGGGCGTACTCTTTTCAGCCCACTCCGTCCACACTTGCCCAAATCACCCATTCGTGCTGTCTGCCTGCTCCTTAGGCTTTGAATTCATGACCCATATTCTAAGGCGGTGATTTTTATTTCATACCCTAATCCTCTTTCTTCCAATAAAGTCTTACTCCACGGGACAGATAAGAGGTGCACCTCTGGCTGAAGCAGATGAGGGGTGTGGCACACAGGACCCCCTTCTTTGATGTCCCGGGACCCCTACTGGCATCCTTTCCCATTTTAAAAGATGGCAAACTGACCCCCAGGAGGGTACAAGCGCTCTCCAAGGGTGACCCCCTCCTGTCGGGAGTTCGGGTGCAGAGGGTGTGTTAGCCTTTTCTGACTGGTGCGGAAACTGAGGCCAGAAAGGTGGCCCGAGGTCCCCGCGGGCCACTGCAGGCCCGGCCTCCGCACCCCAGTCTTCTCCCTTGGCGGCGCGGGGCTGCCGTTGCCACACACGTGCCCTCTCTTTGGTTCACAGGTGGGCATTCTCTCTGGCCTCCACTTAACATTCTGGGGTCCCGGACCCTGCCTCTCTCCCCCCCAGATCAAGGCTGAAGACCCCAGCAGTGACTCAGCCCCAGCGGCACCCCTGCCCCCCCAGCCGGTTCAGCCGCATCTGCCCCAGGCCCAACTCATGTTGACGGGCAGCCAGCTAGCCGGGGTAAGTACCTGGGGTGCACGGGGGCAGGGACAGGCCAGCCCCCTCCCGTCTGTTACAGGACTGGTGGCCACGGCCACGGCCACTCTCTCAACGCCTGCCTCTCGCCCTCCTCTGTCCTCCTGGAAGACCTGCCCCCTAACCCGCTTGGCTCAGGCGCTAACCCCTGTCTGCTTTCTCTGCTCCCCCCACGCCCCTCCTCCGGCCCCTGCCGCCCCGCCCCCGCCCCGCCCCGCCCACAGCTCACGGCGCTGATGCCAGCCCAGCAGCAACTCCTCCTGCAGCAAGCGCAGGCCCAGCTCCTGGCCGCCGCGGCCGCCGCCGCCTCCTCCTCCTCCTCCTCCTCTTCCTCCTCCTCCTCGACCTCGCAGCCCCCAGCCTCCTCCGGGGGAGGCGACCTGCCGCCACCACAGCCTGCCAGCCAGCCCCCCGGGACCCCACAGCTCACCCTGTCCCAACCCATCCAGCTCACAGCACAGGTAAGGGCAGCCCCGGGGAGCACACGCCCTCCAGCGGAGGCCCCGCGGAAGCCGAGCCGGTGCAGGGGGCTGGCCGGTCCACGCGGACCGTTCTGACCACCAGCGCTGGGCCAGGCGGTCCCCGGCAACCCCAGGAAGCCTCGGGAGATGCTGCCACCCATCTCTCAGAGGGGTAAAGCGAGGCTCAGGGGGAGGACACCCTCCACGCGATGGGCGCGCCTGACTCTCTGCTTTCTGTGCATCTCGCTGAGGGTCCGCCGCCACCTGGGAGGCTGACACATTATCCTCAGTTTACAGCAGAGGAAACCAGGGGTCACCTCCATGCACAGGACCTGTGTGGCCAGAAAAGAAAGGCTGAGAATCAGAATCGGTGCCCCACGTCGAGTGCCCTGGCTCATCCAGTGAGACGCTCTTTCAGAAAGGGGACTGTGGTCTGTGAGTTAGGAAACACTGCATTCTCTCTCCCCATTCTGGAGACTTCTGCTCTACGTGGAATCATGCATGAGTGGCTGTATTAGCTTCCAGGGCTGCCATAACAAAGTATCACAAACTGGGTGGCTTCAAACAACAGAAATGTATCATCTCAGACCAGAAGTCCAAAATCAAGGTGTCAGCAGAGCTGGGGTCTCTCTCAAGGCTCTACGGGAGAATCCCTCTTTGCCTCTTCTCGCTTCTGGTGGTGCAGGAAACCGTTGGCTTTCTCGTAGGTGGATGACTCCCGTCTCTGCCTCTGCCGTCATGTGGCCATCTTTTCTCTGAGTGTGTCTGTCTCTGTGTCCAAATTTCCCCTTCTTATCAGGACACCAGTCATTGGATTAGGGTCTACCCTAATGACCTCCTTTTAACTTGATTACATCTGCAAAGACCTCGTTTCCAAACAAGGTCATATTTTTAGGCACCAGGGGTTAGAACTCCTACCATTTCTTTCTTTTTTTTTTTTTTTTTTTAATGGCCGCACCTTGCGGCATGTGGGATCTTAGCTCCCCGACAAGGGATCGAACCCGTGCCCCCTGCAGTGGAAGCATGGAGTCTTAGCCGCTGGACCACCAGGGAAGTCCCCTACCATATCTTTTTAGGGGACACAATTCAACCATGATATTGGCCAACAGACTTCCCATAAGGATGGTTGGCGGGAGCAGAGTAGAGGCTGGGCAGGCCTCCTCTTCCGACAGGCTGCTTTTTCCAGCCCACCCCTTCCTTCCACCCCTGCCATGTCACCCATTTGTGCTGTTAACCTGGTTTCCATAGAGCGTTTGAGTCTGTGGCCCGTGTTCCAGCGCAGTGAAGGGCCTGGCAAGTCCTAGAGCGAGGGATTGGCCTATGCTGTCTACACCAGGGAGCTGTCCAGCACCCGCGAGGCTGTTCCCTTGGTGGCGGTCGGCCTTCGATGGGCCCGTTCCACTGCTGACCAGCACTCCCATTTGGGGCTGTCCTTAACACTGAGTGCGTCTCTGTCTCCTTAGAGCTTCCTGCCGCTGGGCCTGGCTCTGCAGAAACGCAGAGCAATCTGGCCTCGCTGCTTTGCAGTGACTCTTCCAAACAGATCCTCCCAATGCCTGGCTTGCCACCGTTGCCATAGGTAGTCTGTCGGGTGCTGCCTTTGTACCGGGCACTATGCTAACGTGACCTCCCTGAATCCACAAATCCTCATCCTGGCCAAGGCGCCGGTGGGGGGTGGGGGGAGGAGCGGGTGTGCCGGGGAGGCAAAGTGACTTGCCTGCCCCAGGTCACACCGTGAACTCAAGTGGCAGAGCCAGCCTGGAAGCCAGGCCTGGGAGTCCAGGGCTCTAACCACGTGATCTGGGGCTGCTGCCTCTAACTGGCACCCCTCCCACCCCGGCCACCAGAGACCCCAGCAGCAGGTGATCTGTTTGCTTTGTAGCACATACGGCGCTTCACTGAGCAAGGTGGAGGCTCAGGGCTCCTCCAGTCTTGGTGTTCCTGCGCCTGTTCTCCTTTCTACCTGGAAGTCAGCCCCCTCCCTTTACCTGGAGAGCTCCTCTCCATCCTTTAAGCCCCAGCTTGGGAGGCTGCACCTCCAGGGAGTCTTCCATGACTTCCCTCCCTCCAGCTGCTTTGATTTCCTGCCTCCTGTCTCCTCTGGGGGCCCCCAGCCCATTGCCTCTCCTTCTGCCACAGCCCTGATCACCCAGGGAGGGAGGAGGGACGGGGCAGCCTAGCGCAGACCCAGCCAGGCCCTCAGCCCCTGTGACCAGCAGGCACTCCTGTTCATACACCCCCCAGAACCACCTCTTCCGGACCCCCTACGGCCACCAGCAGCAGCAGGCCGACCCTCTGCCACCTGTAACCTGCCCAGGCCCTGATTCTCAAGGTCCCCTCGAATCCCTCCTGCCCAGCCCTTTCCTCTCTCTCCTCCTGCCCCAGCTTCCCTCAGCTCTGATCTCCATCTGTCTCCTGCAAGTGCAAAGCTGGGCTGAAGTTGTTTTCTGGGAGTTCTGTCACCCTGTGATCTCACTTCCCCAACAGACCAATGTTTATCCCGTACAGCCCATGAGCCGGTCACCATACCGTGCCCAAGCCGGGGTGGGGACCACCGTCCTTCTGCCCTCGCTGCCCGCTGCTGCCACAGCCGGCCTCGGCCCTGGGCTTGACCCTCTCCCCAGCCTGTGTCGCGTGCCTGCCAGTGCAACTGCCTGTGCCTGCCCAGCTCTGTCCTGCCCTCGTTTCGCAGACACTTCCCGCCTCCTGGGTCAGGCCCTGGTGGGAAGCAGGCATGACTCAGACCCAGCCTTGTCCCCAGAGGGGCTCCCTGTCTTGTAGGGAAACAGACACACCAATGAGCCACTAAGAAATGCTTTACTTGAAAAATATTCCGAAAGTCAAAAAGCATCCATAACCCTATCACTTTAAAATTACATAAAGTACGAAGGGAAAGTCCCCCTTCTGTCCTTCTATTGCCAACTTCCAAAGGAATGCCGGTCAGTTTGGCAGGAACCTTCCCTGCATTTCCCTAGCCTGTACAGAAGGGACAGTTATAATACAATTTTACCACTGACTTTTTTTTTTTTTTTTGGCTGCGCCTCTTGCCTTGTGGGATCGTAGTTCCCTGACCAGGGATCGAACCTGGGCCCTCGGCAGTGAAAGCACAGAGTCCTAACCACTGGACCACCAGGGAAGTCCCTATAATACAGGTTTACAATTTGTGTGTCCAGCACTCAACTCAGCATGATGCTTTCTACCGAGGGGGCCACACAGACGTTTACTGAAGCAATGAGGGATGTTTTGCTGCAGCTTTTCAATCAAGGGTAGGGAAGACATCTCTCCAGGGGAGTAAATTCAGAATGCCTGGGGTAGGGTAGGCATTGACTGAACATTTACATTAACTGTTAAAACATCATTTTGTATTTGGAGAGCGGCGGCGGTGGGGGCGGGGAGGAACGTCCCTATTTTCGTACTAAGACCACGGCAAATAAAGCTTGAGAAGAGCTTTCAGGGGGTAGGACCTAGTGAAGAAGGGTTTCGCAGAGAAACCTGCTGGATGTGGTGGGGGATGCGGGAAAAGAAAGGGGTCTGTGTCTGAGGGAGTCAGGGAAGGCTTCCTGGAGGAGGTGGTATCTGAACCGAGGCGGGAAACAAGTAGGAGTTTACCAGGTGGATGAGCTGGGGAAAGGGTTCCAGGCGTGGGACTGGTGAAGGCAAAGCGAGAGAGCAGGGCAGGCTTGGGGAGGTGAGGGGTGGGAGGCAGCAAAGGATGAGCCAGGAGCGGGTGTCAGTGGGGCCACAGCCACACTCTAGGCAGCTGAAGAGGAAAAGGGACTGTTTGGCTCAAATCACAGAAAAGGCCCAGCCTGGAACATCAGGCCTGGCCCCAGGGATCTGTCTCCCTTTTCATTCTGGGTCGGGCATAATGGGTACCAGCACTTCAAGACTTGCAGCCACCCCACCCAGAGAGAAGAAACACACCCAGTGGCCAGGTTTGAGTCGTTGCTCCCAGCTCCCGGGAGGGTGGGGTCAGCCCCACCTGGACTGCGAGACCTGAGAGTGGGGGAGGGCAGGTCCCCAAGAGGAGGAGATGGGTCCTGCTGCTGGAGCAGGGGCAGAGGATGCCAGGTCAGCTCAGCCGCCCACCTGGCACCACAGGCCCCAGAGTCCAGGAGCTGGGCCGGTCCAGAGGCATGCCAGTCACTCCAGGACTCCTGGGTTGGGATCTGCTGTTGCTCGTCTGTCCTGGAATTTTAGCATGAGGTAGCATGGAATGTAATGTGCAATTGGCAGGTAGGTGTTTTTTTCTCCCTGTTGAATGGTTCTCTGCTCCATGGTGTTCTGCCCCAGTCGCCAGGACCTCGTGGGCTCCATGTGGCAGGGCCAACCTCTGGGGGACGGGGGTACGTAGCAGATCCGGCGCTAGAGACAGGCTACCTCTGTCCACCCCCCACCTCCAACCTTTAGAGCTTCCCCTAGTGGAGGGACTGGAATAATCATAGTCATTTATTCATTCAACTAATACTTATCGAGCACCTTGTGTATGCCAGGTGCTCATTCATGGCTCTGAGGGGACAGCTGTGAATGAGGCAGAGGTGGCTGTCCTTGAGGACATTATGTTCTAGTGGCGAGACAGTAAACAAGTAAACATATCAGCAAAACAAGACGGTTTTAGCATAAGGGTAATGAAGAAAATGACACAGGGTGCTGTCCTAGACCGAGGAAGCCACAATTTTTTTTTTCTTGCCTTGCTGCACGGCATAGGGGATGGAACCTGTGCCCCCTGCAGTGGAAGTGCAGTGCCTTAACCACTGGACTGCCAGGGAAGTCCCAAGGGAGGAAGCCACTTTTAATGGGGTGGTCAGGAAAAGTTTCACTGAGAAGGTGGCCTTTGAGAACCGAGACCTGAATGAGTCAGGCATGAAGAAGGCAGCGGGAGAGATTAGGAAAGGGCAACAGCAGGTGCAAAGGTCCTGAGGTGGAAACCAGCTTGACTTGTTCGGGGTACAGGGGAAAGTGGAATGGCTGGGACAGAGTGAGCGGGAGACAAATAACTGGTGAGGTGGGGAGGCAGGCAGGACTGGCTTTTGCAGGGCCTCACGGGCAAGATCAAGGAGTTTGGAATGTGTGCTGGGTATGATGGGAGGTTGTTGGGGGTTCTAAGCTGGCGAGGGTCCCAACTGACCCTTTACGAAGCTCCCTCCAGCTGCTGTGGGGAGAATGGGCTAGAAGTAAGGAGTGGGAAGTCCTTGCAGGCATCGAGGTGGCGATGAGGGTGAAGGTGGGGTCCGGGATGCTATTTCGTGTGGATCCGATAGGTCAAGGGTGATTCCTGGGATTTGGGCTTCAGAGATTGGTGGCGGTGAGGTGGTTTCCTGCGCTGGGGGAGGCAGGGGAGGAACAGGGTGTTTTGGAGGGTGGGGCTGGGGAACCAGGAGTTTCACTTCGGACGTGGTAGTGTTCAAACAGTCTATTAATCACCCAAGTGGGAGACATCAAATAGGCAGATGGATATTCGGGGCTGAAGCTCAGTGGAGGGTCTGGGCGGGAGCTGGAAGTTGTAAGTTTTCAGGAAGAGGATGGACTGGTGGGGCTGCCGCCCTCGAGAGCTCACGGGGTGACATGAGGCGGCTGATGTGAGGGTGCAGTGCTAGCAAATGCTGGTGTTGGAGGAGTAGGTTGTGATTTCCAAAATGCTTTGAGAATGATAATATTCCTCAGGCCTCAAAACAACCCAGTGAAGAGTTAGACATTATTACTCCCATTTTATAGATGACAAAACTGAGCCCTGAGAGAAATGACTCAGTTAAAAAGGACTGCCATTTACGGAGGACCACTTCAGTGAACCAGGGATCAGACTAAACGTTCTACACCTGTTGTCTCATTTAATCCTTTAACAGCTCCATGAGGTAAGAATTATTGAGGTGTCACCTGAGGAAGTTGAGGCTTAAAGAGGGTAAGGAACTGCCCATGGTCTCATGGTGTGTAAGGGACAGAGTCAGGTGTCTGGCCATCTCCAGAGCCCAGGTGGTTCCAGGACACCGTGCATTGTCACCCTATACAGTAAGGCCCAGAGAGACAGCTGGCTTCCTCCAAGTCACACAGCAAGAAGCAGGCACGGGAATTCCCTGGCGGTCCAGTCGTTAAGGCTACGCGCTTTCACTGCCAAGGGCCCGGGTTCAATCCCTGGTGGGGAACTAAGATCCCCAAAGATCCCACAAAACAAAAACAAACAAAGAAAAAAAAAAAAGCAGGCACGATGGCCAGGACTCTAGCCCTCACGGTTCTCGGCTGGAAGGGATCCTTGCACACCGAGGTGACCTTCCCACCCAGTGTGGGAACTCCCTCTGCACCATTCTGGGGGTGCAGTTTCACCCAGCTGACCCCCAGGACGGTGCTCACTGCCTTCCTCCCTAGGCGGTCCCTTCTACAATCAATTGCAAGTAACTTACAGGGTCCCCAGACCCCATCCCTTCCCCACTCTGGACGTCACTCTAGGCTGTCCACGTCTTCGCAGCACACAGTGTCCAGAACTGGTCAAAATTTGCCATATCAGAGACGGCAAGTGAGTGTCGACGTGCATGTCAACACCGTCCCCACTGGGGCTGCGGGAGTGTAGCATGTGAGGCCAGTCATGGGGGAGAGGGGAGTCGGCCCTGCGCGCTGGAGTGAGGCAGCGCACCTGCACGGCTCTGGGGCCCCAGCGGCCTCTAGTTCCTGCTCAAGGCTGCCTTCTCCCCACCAGGTGGAACCAAGCCCAGTGGGTGATTACACTGCAGTTCACCCATATGAACCCATATGTGTCATATGAACCGTGTGTCTCAGTCTTTCTGCCCCCAGTCTGTGGCCAAGATCCCACCTGTGGCAAAGCACAGCCAGTCTGCCCCCAAACACCACCAGTCCTAAGGGTTACCTTATTCATTCACTGAAAATTCATGGATTGCCCGTTCTATGCCTGCACTGGGGCAGGGGAGTGAAGAGAATATAGCGATGAGCAAGAATTTCTCTCCCCCCTTCTTGGTTTTAATGGGCTGTGCTAGCTCTTCTCACGGGTTAGGGACAGAGCAGACGATCCACTACGGGCGGGGGTGGGGAGGGGTGGGCCTGCGGAGCGCTGGCATCCCTCCGCCTACTCCAATTTCTCCACCCTGTCTCCGTCCTAACACGCCCCCAAGTGGCTTCAGCTGGTGTGCCGATTCAGATGGCTCTAGGTTGTGGAGAAATGGCGCCTTCTACTGGCTAACCCCAGTCTTTTTTTTTTTTGGCTGCGTTGGGTCTTCGTTGCTGCGCGCGGGCTTTCTCTAGTTGTGGAGATAGGGGACTACTCTTTGTTGAGGTGCGCGGGCTTCTCATTGCGGTGGCTTCTTTTGTTGCGGAGCTCGGGCTGTAGGCGCGCGGGCTTCAGTAGTTGCGGCATGCGGGCTCAGTACTTCTGACTCATGGGCTTAGTTGCTCCGCGGCATGTGGGATCTTCCCCGACCAGGGCTCGAACCCGTTCTCCTGCATTGGCAGGCAGAGTCTTATCCACTGCGCCACCAGGGAAGTCCCTAACCCCAGTCTTGAGTCAGCTCACTGTTCACCCAGAATCTTCTCTCTTTCTCTCCTTCTTGAATTCCTTTGGTCAACCAGCGTTTGGGGATCATCCACCACACCCAGGCACCTTTCTGCATGAGGGTTACAGTGAGGAATTAGGCAAACAAATCTGTGCCCTCGTGGAGCTGGCACCAACCCTTCTTGAGGAGACAGACAGGAAGCTGATATTGCTATGAGGGAAGGAAAAGAACATATTGTAAGAGAGCGACTAGGGGGGAAAAATCTCCGTGTCAGAGCAGGTGGCCAGAGGAAGCCTCTCTGAGGAAGGAGCATTTGATAACGGCTTAAATGATGATGAGGGGCCAGTCATGTGCAGATCAAGAGCGGCGGCGGTGGGGGGGGAATAGCACGTGCAAAGGCCCTGAGGTGGGGATTTCTTTCTGGGTTCAGTGGCAGGAGGGAGACCAGTGTGGCTGGATGAGTTAGGGGGTGAGAGAGTCATGGGAGGTGAGGAAGGCCAGGTCATGCAGGGCCATGGCAAGGAGCTGGGTGTACAATCGATATTACAAATTTGATGAAAAGGGACTTCCCTGGCGGTCCAGTGGTTAGGACTCCACGCTTTCACTGCCAGGGGCCAGGTTCAATCCCTGGTTGGGGAGCTGAGATCCTGCAAGCCACCTCACAGCCAGAAAAAGAAGAAGAAGAAGACAAAATTATAAAACAAGATTAGGTATGGGGGTCTTGGAAGGGTCCACCGTAAATGGCAGGCCTTAAAGCCCCGGCTTCACTCACCGCCCAGGGTCAATCCAAGTGTGGAAGAGAAATAGCCAGGGAGGCCTTCTTGGGTGGGTGGGGAGGGTCTCAAAAGGGAAGGCAGAGTGGATACAGTTTCAAAGGATATAGAGTAGGATGTCAAACTCCTTAAACTGTATTCTTAGATGATTGGCAGCTAGAGCGAGAAAGCTGAGAGATCAGGGAGCATCTGGGGACTCTGTCCACTTGCTAAAGCACATGGAGAAAGCAGAGGCCTTTGCAGGTGGACAGGGAACAGCCTGGAACTCTTGCAAGACGAGTGGTTGGAAAAGTAGGGATGCTGGGCATAAGTGACTGCTCAACCGGGCGAGTGGGGGTGGGACACCTGGGTATTTATTCCTTTATTTGGACAAGGTACATGTTCAAAATTCAAGAGGTACAGAAGGGTTTATAGCGTTGCCAGTTTCTGGTATCGTTTTTTAAGTATAATCTATGCATACCCAAGCAGGTACCAGGGTATAATTTTTTTTTTTAACACAAACGGTAGCACATCATACCCACTGTTTTTCCTCTTGAGCTCTCCATTCCACAGGACATCTTGAAGATTGTTCCATATCAGGACAAAGAGTGTCCTCGATCTTTTTGATGAACACATAATATTCTGTCATGAAGATCTACCCTAATTCATTCACCCATCCCCCGCTGCTACACATTCAGCTTGTTTCCACTCTTTTGCTAAAACACTGCTTGCTACTGGGAGTATCCTTCTAGTGAGGACATTCTGCACAAGTGCAAGTATATCCCTAAGATAAATTCCTAGAAGTGGAGTGGCTGAGTCAAAGGATATGTGTACTGGTAATTTAATAGACGTTGCCGGATTACCCTCTCACCAGCGATGTGCAAGAATTTTTGTTTCCCCTCACGCCCCAACATAGTGTGTCATGCACTGTCATGAGGTAAAAATAGTATCTCAGTGCAGCTGTAGTGCGTCTGTCTCCAAATTTCCCCGTATTATATGGACACTAGTCGTACCGGATTAGGTTCCACCCCAATATGACCTCATTTTAACGTGATCATATGCAAAGACTCTATCACCAAATGACGTCACACTCTGGGGTTCTGGGGGATGGTTATGATTCCAACATATCTTTTTTTTTTGGTGGTGGGTGGGGCGGAACACAATTCAACTCATAGGAGTGCCAGAGAGTTTTCCAAAGTCTCTGTACCGATTTAATCAGCCGCTAGGGGCTGGAGTATTTTAGAGCTATTCCCAGACATGATGTAATTTGCCTTGGGAGTGTTTTAAAAGGAAGTCTTGGTCTGATTTACATTTTTAAACGATCCTATTTGTTCTGTGGGAATATAGGACAAGGCAAATATTTCATCAAGAAAGAAAAGGTAAATAAAGAGCGAGCCCTCCTGTGATGACCCATGTAGGGTGCTCCGGCCTCCCGGATGCCCTTAGCTCAGGGCTGCACCCAGTGACCCATGCTCCATCCCTCTATGCCTTATGCCAGCCTGCCCTGCGGCGCACCCCTCGGGGCTCGGGCGATGCAGAGGGAAGAGCGGGGCCAGGACTCAGGCTGTCGTTCTGTCCACCCCGCTCCCTGTCAGGACATCCAGCAGCTCCTCCAGCTGCAGCAGCTGGTGCTTGTGCCGGGTCACCACCTCCAGCCACCTGCTCAGTTCCTGCTGCCGCAGGCCCAGCAGAGTCAGCCAGGTAAGGCCCTCACCCCGGATGGCCTCCCCAACGCCTCCACAGATCTCTCTCTGCCCCCCTCACCCTGTGCGATCCCTCTTGTCCCCCCAGGCCTGCTACCGACGCCAAATCTATTCCAGCTACCTCAGCAAACCCAGGGAGCTCTTCTGACCTCCCAGCCCCGGGCAGGGCTGCCCACACAGGTGAGTGGTCCACTGAGTGCGTCAGGCTGTGGCCAGATGGCGTGGAGTGGTGGTCAGTGAGGGTCTCCTCTCCATTTGCTCCCCCCCCCACCAGCCACAGGGGCCAAGATAGGAGTCAGGAGCCTTGGGGCCCAGCGCTGCTGTGCTACTAATTTGCTGTGGGACCCCAGGCAAGCCACTTTCCCTGTCTGAGTCAGCTTCCTCCTCCACGGAATGAGGGGAGTCAGCCAGACCAGTGGCTCTTAACCCTTGCAGGCACATGGACTCCTTTGAGAATCTGATGGATTATTTGAATCCGACCCCCACTGCCCCCAAATGCACGTGTGCACAAACACAAAACTTCAGGGGGTTCACAGGCCTTTAGGGCATGAATGCCTCAGATCTCTTCCAGCACTCCAAATGGGGGGCGTTCCCTGAGGCTCTGTTGGGTACTACTTCGTGTCCCTTTCCCAGACCAGAGACTGCAAACAAGGGCCCACACTCATTTAAAAATCGAGTTAGTTGTCAACAAAATTCCCGGAAAACACCAGATTCCCAGCTTCTTTTGACAAGCCAGAAGCTCTGGGAAGGCTGGATCTGCGTACACATGGCGTGAGCTCAGGCCCCCTCCTGGAAGGCGTGAGTTCTTCAGGCTGCCTTGGTGTCCTCCTGCCTGGTCCCCATGGCCTTTCTTGAAGTTTGCTGCCTGGGTTCTAAACTTTTTTTTTTTTTCTTTTTTCCTGGCCGCGCCTTGGGGCTTGAGGGATCTTAGTTCCCCAACCAGGGATCAAACTCACGCCCCCTGCAGTAGAAGTGTGGAGTCCTAACCCCGGACCACCAGGGAATTCCCACTGGGTCCTAAACTTTAATAATAATTTTTCATGATTATGGATTTTAAAGTTCCCTCCTACCTATTTTTTAAAACAGCCCTTTTAAAAAATATATGGGGGGCTTCCCTGGTGGCGCAGTGGTTGAGAGTCCGCTTGCCGAGGCAGGGGACACGGGTTCGTGCCCTGGTCCGGGAAGATCCCACATGCCGCGGAGCGGCTGGGCCCGTGAGCCATGGCCGCTGAGCCTGCGCGTCTGGAGCCTGTGCTCCACAACGGGAGAGGCCACACAGTGAGAGGCCCGCGTACCGCAAAAAAATAAAATAAAATTTAAAAAATATATGAACTGTTTCAAAAAAACCCAAAAGTTAATTAATTAATTAATTTATTTATTTTTGGCTGCATTGGGTCTTCACTGCTGTGCGCAAGGCTACTCTTAGTTGCAGTGCGCGGGCTTCTCATTGCGGTGGCTTCTCTTGTTGCGGAGCATGGGCTCTAGGCGCGCGGGCTTCAGTAGTCGTGGCACGCGGGCTCAGTAGTTGTGACTCACGGGCTTAGTTGCTCCACGGCGTGTGGGATCTTCCCGGACCAGGGCTCGAACCCAAGTCCCCTGCATTGGCAGGTGGATTCTTAACCACTGTGCCACTAGGGAAGTCTGCAAAACCTGTCTTGGCCTGATGCCAGGCGGCGTGTGACTTTTCTTTATCCCTCTTGTGTGGTACTTGTGCTTTGCTGACAGCTGTTGATATGTCCGAATATGGGGTGATGCCTTGACCCTAATGGTGGAGGTTCACATTATCTATGATACATGCCCCATGTAGGCTTTCTAAAATCTGAAAAAATTCTGAATTCCAAAACACATCTGGTCCCAGGGTTTTGGATAACGGATCAAGGACTTGTGCGTCCAACATCCCTGTACCCACCACCTACTTAGATGTTTTATTTTTAGGGAAATGAAGCATTCCAGAGAGAACTGTTGCTTCTTTGTAAATTCCCCAGTCACCCTCCTTGTCTATTTTTAAAAATACTTTTACTTTATTTGCAGCCTACTTACTTTTAACCCGATTCTCCCAACAACCCCATGGGGTAGGTAGAGTAGCCATGATTGTTCCCATTCTGCAGAGGGGGAAACTGAGGCCCAGGGAGATTAAGAAACTTGCCTGAGTTACCCAGCAATTCGGTAGTAGAGCTGATCCTTGATTCCCTGCCTGAGAGGAGGCTAAAACCACCAGCCCCTCCCCCAGCTTCAGGGAAAGAGCCTTTGGTGAAAGGAGATGGCTGCTCCTTATGAAGCCTGCAGACTGGGAGGAATGTGCAGAGAGTTTCAGGCAGTGAGCGGGCCCTTGTGGGGCAGCAGAATGTCACCTTGATTGGCAATGAGTGTGGAGGGGCCACCTGGGGGTGGGTGGAGGGGAGTCTGCAGGAAGAGGCTGGACGGCAGGGAGGGAGGGAGGGGGGACTGCGCAGCCAATGCTGAGCCCCGTCCTGGTCCTCGGTCCTGCATCCCACCCACCTGCCCACCCCACCAGGCCGTGACCCGCCCCACGCTGCCCGACCCGCACCTCTCGCACCCGCAGCCCCCCAAATGCTTGGAGCCACCATCCCATCCCGAGGAGCCCAGTGACCTGGAGGAGCTGGAGCAGTTCGCTCGCACCTTCAAGCAACGCCGCATCAAGCTGGGCTTCACGCAGGTCTGGGGCCACCCGGCAGGACAGGCGGTGGGCGTGGGGTGACAGGGCGGTGTGACCAGCTGGTGGCCGGGGTGTTGGGCCCTAGTCATCTAGTGGGCGGGGTAGAGAGCGTAGCCATATGGTAGGCGGGGTGAGGGGCGTGACCGGCAGGTGGGCAGGGGGAGGGAGCGTAGCTGCCTAGTGGGCGGGGTGAAGGGGGCATAGTCACCTGGTGGGCGGGGTGGGGTGTGGCCAGATGGTGGGCGGGGCTGAGCCCTTTGCCCGGCTCTGAACGCAGCCCCATCCCTGCCCCACTGGCCCAGGGTGACGTGGGTCTGGCCATGGGCAAGCTCTACGGCAACGACTTCAGCCAGACGACCATCTCCCGCTTCGAGGCCCTCAACCTGAGCTTCAAGAACATGTGCAAACTCAAGCCTCTCCTGGAGAAGTGGCTCAACGACGCAGGTGGGACTTGGGCTGGGGGCTCCCAGGCGGGCTGCGGGCGGCGGGCCGGGGGAAGCGCCCTCTCATGACCCCGTCTCCTCCCGGACACAGAGACTATGTCTGTGGACTCAAGCCTGCCCAGTCCCAACCAGCTGAGCAGTCCCAGCCTGGGTTTCGACGGGCTCCCCGGCCGGAGACGCAAGAAGAGGACCAGCATCGAGACAAACGTCCGCTTCGCCTTAGAGAAGAGTTTTCTAGCGGTGAGGCCCCACCCTCCCGGGCGGCCCTGAGGGCTGGAGGGAGGAGGGGCCCCGGGCTAACGAGCCCTCTGCCCGCAGAACCAGAAGCCTACCTCAGAGGAGATCCTGCTGATCGCAGAGCAGCTGCACATGGAGAAGGAGGTGATCCGCGTCTGGTTCTGCAACCGGCGCCAGAAGGAAAAACGCATCAACCCCTGCAGCGCGGCCCCCATGCTGCCCAGCCCGGGCAAGCCAGCCAGCTACAGCCCCCATCTGGTACCAAGAGCCCCTCGAGGGGTGGGGCCACAAAGCTCTGGCACACCCTCGCCCCCTGGCAGGCGCCTCGTGTGAAGCACAACCTACCCGGTTGGCCACAGTTCCTAGAACAGAGGCAGGGAGAGTCACCCTTGGGAACAGGCTGTCACAGCGGTGGGGCACAGTCACACAGAGAAACACCGTTTCCAGGGAACTGTGGTCTTACATGGGGGATACAAGCACCCACCGACACACACTGACGTAGCCAAACACAGAGTTATCACAGGATGTAGCCACACGGGGATGGATACTAGGTAAAGGATACAGGCATCTCCCCTCACACAGGTTCACGACCACACAGACGCTGGCAGGGAGATCATTACACCCCTGGGTGTGCACTCAGGTCCACAGCCTGCTCGAGATCAGACACACTGGGACATCCCTTTATTCCATCTAGTGTGGAAAGGGTTGTGACACTACAGAGAGCAGCAAGGGGCCCAGAGGAGCCCCCTTCCCCAATGACGTAAAGGGAGGGATCATCTAAGCTGAGTCATAAGGACAAGAGTTAGTCATGTGAAGGACAGGCAAAGGGATCTACGTGCATGAAGACCTAGAAGCCAGAGTGCCGAGCCCAATTTGAGGAACTCCAGTGCGGTTTAGAGCTGGAATGATTATTTATGAATGAGGATGGGGGTAGGGTGGGGGATGGGCAGGGGCCAGACATCAAGTCAAATGCTGAAGGAGCTTGAACTTGAACCGTAGGCAGTGAGGCGCTAAGGATGAGTTTTGAACCCGGGAGGGACTGGGTCACACTTAGAGTGAGGCTTCTGGGGTTGATGGAGGATGAGACTGGAGGCAGGGAGGCTAAGAAGGAGGCTGGTGGGTGGTCCCAGAAAATCAAGCAGTATAACATATCAACACTGTGATGCAGAGACACACCTTATCCTCATAACCCACCCCACCCCCTAGCCTCACAAGCACGTGTGCTTGCGCGCTCTCACATATACACACACACACACTTCAGACCTGCAACTGGACAGTGTCAGAGGAGAGGCAGGGAACGACTGCCTCCTGTCTGTGCCCCGGGATCACCTAGGGTAAACGTGACGAAAGCTGATGGAAAGCGCTTGGCGTGATACAAACAGCCTTGCAGCCAGAGCCCCCTTTCTCCGTCTTGGAGGCAGAGGTGCGGGGGTTGTAACCACAGCAAGCACCATGGGAGCTGCTGGAAGACAGTGGCCTAACCATGCCTTCTTTCCTCTCTCCCCAGGTCACGCCCCAAGGGGGCACCGGGACCCTGCCGTTGTCCCAAGCTTCCAGCAGTCTGAGCACAACAGGTCAGGGAGGGCAGAGGATGGTGAGGGGGATTGGGAGAACACAGCGCGGGCCCGAGCGCAAGGTTCTCAAGCGGTTCAGGGCACCCCTAGGCCTCAAGGCTGAGCCTGGAGGTCGGGGGGCGGGGCAGGAAAGGGGAGAGGGCAGCCTCACCCCTCCCTGCCAGAGCAGCTCAGGCTTCATCTGCTCCACAATTTCATGTGAGAAAAGCACGGGGTTGATAAAGGTGATGTATTTGGGTTCTCTTTCTGGCATTTATGAACTGTGTGAACTCCAGAAGTGACCTTACTTCTCTGAGCCTCAGTTATAAAATTATTGTGAATATAACATACATACAGAAGCTATATCCATGAATATATACACAGAAGAGTGTGTACGTGTGTGTGTGTGTGTGTGTGTGTACAAACACACACACACACACACACTTTTGTACCCAAAGCCCTCCTTTGCCCCTTCCTGGGGTAGGGCATGTATAACACCATATGTAAGAATAATATAAAAACAGACGCCATATTTCCCCTCCCCAGGTTAAGAACTAATAAGTGGAAGTTTATAAAGTAATAAGGGTGTGCCTGGCACTGGTCTAAACTCTTTATAAAGAATATTGACCCACTTAATCTTCACACCCATTTTATAAGATAGGTTCCATTATCTGCCCCATTTTCCAGATTAGGGAACTGAAGGTCAGAGAGATGAAGGTGCTCACCTGAAGGCACAGCTGGGACGTCCCAGGGCCGGGAATTGCTGTCTTGGGTGTCTGGTCTCAGTCTGGGCTCAGAGCCCTCTCAGCCTCAGTGTGCGCGGCCACACGCCCGTGCCTGGCCTCTAGAGGGAGCCATAGGGCTCTGTCTTCTGGGAACCCTTGGTTCTTTGTACAGAGGGGCCCAGAGGTGAGATTCCGGGCTGGATAAGCAGGGTGTGAGCACGCTCCTGGCATAGGGCACAGGCTCGGTGGGAGGCAGCTGCTCTTACTGCGATTACTGTCACCGTGGCAGAGGCACAAAGAAATGGCTGTGAGAAGATAAGGGCAGGAGGCCTAAGTGTGTTCTGACTGAGGAGATGCCGCGGGACGGGGCAGGGAAGACAGCAGGCGTCGACCTCAGTGGAGGACGAGTGGAAGCTGAAGTCTCCATCTCTCTGTCTCTCTCTGGCAGTTACTACCTTATCCTCAGCTGTGGGGACCCTCCACCCCAGCCGGACAGCTGGAGGGGGTGGGGCCGGGGGCGGGGCCGCGCCCCCCCTCAATTCCATCCCCTCTGTCACTCCCCCACCCCCGGCCACCACCAACAGCACAAATCCCAGCCCTCAAGGCAGCCACTCGGCTATCGGCTTGTCGGGCCTGAACCCCAGCACGGGGTAAGTGGGCAGCTGCAGGTAGGAGGCTGTGGGGAGAAGCAGGGCCGCTGCTGCTTCCAGGGTGGGGAGCTGCGCCCCCAGTTCTGTGGGAGGGTCTCTGCCCCTGCTAATGCCTCTGCTTTGCCTCTTGCAGAAGCACAATGGTGGGGTTGAGCTCCGGGCTGAGTCCAGCCCTCATGAGCAACAACCCTTTGGCCACTATCCAAGGTGCGTGCTCCCGCATGTCACTCCCCTCGCCACCAGCCCTGTCCCCCAGGGCCTCGAGCCCCCATCCCATTCCTGCTCCAGCCATGCCATCCTGCCCCTGCACACTGCATCGCTCGCCTCTTCATACCCATCTCACCTTTGGGGAAGGTGTGAGGGGTGCTGATGGGGGTCCGTGGGTCAGACGGGAAGACGGGGCACTGCGGGTGGGACGCCGGAAGGCGCCCCCAGCCCAGCCTCTCTCTCTCCCCGCCAGCCCTGGCCTCTGGTGGAACCCTGCCCCTTACCAGCCTTGACAGCAGCGGGAACCTGGTGCTGGGGGCGGCTGGCGCGGCCCCAGGGAGTCCGGGCCTGGTGACCTCGTCACTCTTCTTGAACCACGCCGGGCTGCCCCTGCTCAGCGCCCCGCCTGGTGTGGGCCTGGTCTCGGCAGCCGCGGCAGCCGTGGCGGCCTCCATCTCCAGCAAGTCTCCTGGCCTCTCCTCGTCCTCGTCCTCGTCCTCGTCGTCCTCCTCCACTTGCAGTGAGGCGGCAGCACAGACCCCTGGAGGCCCAGGGGGGCCCGAGGTAGGGTCCAAGCCTGAGTGAGGGCCCGCCACGCCTCCCCTCCTCCTCCTCTGACCCCCGCCTCCGTCCCCCACCTGGGAAGAGGGCGAGGAGGCCATTGGTGGGGATGCAGAGGGTCCTCGGAGCAGGAGTGACGAGGGAGGAAAGACCAAAAAACAAGAAACAAAAAAACAACCAACCAAAAAGAAAGAAAGAAAGAAAAGAAAAGAAAGAAAGAAAAGAAAGCAACCAACAGAAAAAAGAAAACCAAAAATAATCACAAAGAAACCAGCTGCCCCAAAGGAACAAGAGGTGAAAAACAAACATTAAAAAAAAAAAAAGAAAACCAAAAACAAACAAAAAATCCCTCACCAAACCGAACAAACCAAAAACCAGTCTCGAGCCAGACCTCAGTGTGCTCACCCTCACTGCTACGACACCAAATAAGAACCCCAGCCAGGGGCGGAGAAGCCTCGGCGGGGCGGACACGCGGGCCCCTGGCTGCGGGGCGAAGCCTCCCGCTGCGTGTGGCGTGGGCAGAGAAGGAAAAAGAGAATGTACCAGCCTCCCAGCCGCAGCCCTCAGTCCTGGGCCAGCCAAGGCAGGGAGGGTACAGCCTGGGGCTGATGGGGTGGGCTCAGAACCACCCGCCAAATATTCCTTTCCAGAAGGTGAAAGAGAAAGGGCCTGAACAACTTTACACCAAATATTCAGTAGCTTCATCCAAAGGATGTACAGAATTTTTAGCGTTGTGCTCAACAGAATGTGTCCCTGTCATGTGTCCCCCCTCTCGCCCGGCCCCCAGCTCTCCCTGCCCGGGCAGGGGGGTCTCACTTTAACCTCCTCCCTACCCCAGCCAGGGGAGAGTTCAGGGGAAGGCCTGGGCTGACTTTTCACCCCTTGTACCTCCCCCTTTTTCCCTTTGAAGGGTGGGCTAGGCCGTTTTGCCAAGTTCTAGCTCTCACATGTCCCCCCTCAACCCTGTCACCCTCCTCTGCTCTGGAATCTCCCCCCCATCCCTAGTCCGAGGGAAGGTGGAAGCTTCAGGCAAGAGACGATGAGGTGAGGGCTTTCAAGTTGTCTTTTTTTCCATCCTCGTCTGTCAGTTTCCCTGAAAAAAAAAAAAAATTCATATTCCAGTGCCTATCCGTGGGATCCTTCACGTTCTTTGACATTGACCAGAAACCAAAAAGAGAACTCACCTCGCTCTTCCCACCCTGTGCCCCTCTGATACTGGCAGATGCCTCTTCCTCTCCCCTCACACACATGCACACACGCACGCACCCCAGTGGTGGGGTTCCTCGAGATGGCGTCCCCATCAGGGTCCGTGTGGCAGGGACAGTGCCGTGACCTGTGGCCCCCATCCGAGAGGGCGCTGTGGTGGCCACCACTCCCACAAGACCTCCCTCAAGTCTTGGCTGGACCCTGTGTTTGCCCAGCCCTGGACACATCTCGACGGACAGAGGAGAGACGCTGCTGGGAGCCACGTTGCCCTCCTGCTGTTTTGGAGGCCAACAAAGTTCTGAACCAAAAAAAACAAAAACAAAAAACCAAACAATAAATTAAAACTAGAAAAAAAAAGAATTTATAGATATATATATATTTAAGGGAAAGAAGACGAGGACTCTTCAAAGGATACGAAGGAGCCGCGAGGGGGAGCCAAGCCCCTGCACCAGTGGTCCAGGCCCTTGGTCCCCGAGGCGGATGGAAGGACAGATGCTTCTTTCTCTTCACAAATACCTCATGGACGTCGTCTTCGGGAAAGCCGGACGGGGGCGGCTGGGGCAGGGCCTGTCCCTCAGCCAGGGTGGATGGAAGCGGGTGGGCAGGGCTGAGAGAGGGTGTCAGGGACAGGGGTGAAGAGCCCTGAGCTCCCCGCCCCCCCAATCAACTGAAAAAGCTTTAAAAAAAAAAAAAACAGGAAAAAAAGGAATAAGAAAGCAAAAAAGAATGGACGAAGGAAAACTAACAAACTTTCGGGTGGTTTGATTCCTCCTTTGAGTTCTTCTTCTGTTCTCTGCAGTCTGTCCTCTTCCCTCTGTCTCCTCCTTTCTCTTGGTCTGTCTCTCCCTCTTCCTTCCCTCCGCTTTCACCTCTCTTAATCTCCTTCTTTCTGTGTCTCTCCTCAAACCAAAGTGTTGCTGTGAAGGACGCGAGCCATTGAAATCAGAGTGGCCCCCGCCCCTCGCCGGGCAGGAGCAGAGGGAGGGGAGAGCCCCGGGAGATGGGCAGTGCCGCCGGACACTTCCGAGGAGAGGCAGACAGAGCCTCAGACACCACCCCGGGCCCCGAGGCCTCAGCGTTCTCTCTCTTTCTTGCCTCCCTTCTCCCACTCGGGAAATGAAACTGTTGGGCTGGGACATGGAGGCAGCAGAGGCTCAGCTGTTTCAGGGGTCTCGGGGTGCCTTGTCTGGGCAGTGGTGGAGTGGCTGCCCCTCCCACCCTGGCACCGATGGGGCCTGGCCTGCCGTCGACCCATCCTCGCCAGAATGTAAGCATCTCCGCTGAACCGACTCCCTGCCCTTACCCTACCTCTGAGTTTGTCCATTTTTATTTCCTGAAGAGAAGGGACTGGCTAGAGGGCCTGGGCCCCAGCCCAAGGGTGGAGAGGGGGCCAAGGGCTCCTGAACAGATAGGAAGGACATTTGAGCAGAGCCAAGTGAAAGGAATTACAACCAAAAACCCCTCTGAGAAGACAGGCAGCATGGAAGGCATGGTGGAGATGACTCAAACAAAAACTATGATTCTAGACCAAAAAAAAGGAAAAAAAGAAAAAAAAAAAAAAAAAAAGAAAGAAAAAAAGGAAAAAAAAAGAAAAAAAGAAAAAGAAAAAAAAAAGGAAAGAAAATCCAGGACTCACCACCACCCACTTCATCCTGCTTCCTCTCCATCAAGTCCTGCCACCTGGGACCTTCCTCCACCCCAGTGTGGGAGGAGCGGGGCAGAGGGGAGAGGAGGAAGCAGGGGGCAGGGATGGGGCTGATGCCCTGACATTGGTGGAGGGACCCCTGTGCAGCCGGGGTGGTGGGGACCCTCCCCGTCCGACCCCCATAACTGGGAAAAGAAAAACAAGAAAAAAAGAAAATTCCTGGAAGGGGGAAAAATAACCAAATCCCAAGCTTTAACTACAGCTGGGAAACCAAAATTTGGGAAGGGGGGGGGGGGGGGGGGAGGGGCAAGTGCGCCCCAGGTCTCCCCCCTGGGCCCCCTCCCCCGAGGACTCGAGATAAGGCACCAAATACCTCATAGAACTTTAATGTTAAAAAATGGAAACCAAATATCGTTGGCTGGGGGCCAGCCAGGGCAAGGGGCCGGGGGCCTGGGGGAGCCAGGGTTGGGAAGGTGATGGGGGAATTCATGCCCCCCAACCCCCTCTGCCCCTTTCACTCCAGTCCCCCACCCCGTCTCGACTCCGGGAAACAAAACTATCTCATCGTTTTTATTTTGTGGTCTGTACAGAGCCTGTGTCCGTGTGTCTGTGTGCGAGCGAGAGAGTTGGGGGGCTGGGGAACTTTACGTGGGGTTGGGGAAGGAGACCCCAGGCTGGGTTCTGGGCTAGGTGAGATGTCTGAGGTGGGGGGCCAGGGGCCTGGGCTAGAAAGGATGATGAATGGGTTGGAGAAAGTGGAAGCCCTCTGAATTTCTCCTCCCCAACCCTGACCTCCTACTGGAGGGAGGGACAGAGACTGGGTCTACCTAATGGTGGGCCTTTTAATTGTGCCAAAAAAAAAAAAAATGCCAGTAACTAAAACACCTCTCTCTGTTCTCTTCTGGGAGGGTGGGGGTGGAAGTGGGAGGGAGGGCTGGGGGAGGGTAAGTAGGGGTCAGTGGAGATGAGGAACCCAAGCCTCTGTATGGATTGGGGCTAAGATCAGAAGGGGTAGTAAGGCTGTGAGTTTCCCGCACATCTCCTCCCTGGGGAAGGCCAAGAGAGGGTCTCCAAGCCCTGCACCCTGGGAAGATGGGGTAAGGGACTAGCCACGTAGTGGGGGACCTCTTGAACTGGCTAGATTTCCCCCCCTACCCAAATCCCAGGGTGCCTCTCTCTCCCTTTAGCCCAGGGTAGGGGGAACTGAGTGAGAGAGAGAGTGAGACAGACTGAGCAAGATTGAGACACGCGGGCCCCCACTGGCCTCTGAGTGGGAAAGGCAAGTGCGAGAGATAAAGGCCTCCAAGAGAAAAAAGAAACAAACCAAAGATTTAACCATTAAAAAAAAAAAACCCACAGACAACTCCGCTACCTTTTTATATGTTGGAAAAAAAAGTGAAAAAAATTTAAAAATAAAAATTAAAAAAAATACACAAAAACTCCAAGCCGCAGTTCCTTCATGCGGTTTGAACTTTGACCTCAGCAGTCTCCAAAGCAAGATGACGATGAGAAAGGTGAACAAAAAAAAGAAAAAATAATGTATATTTTTAAGTATTTGTCCTTGAGATGTTAACTCCTTGTTAAACAAACACAAAAAGGAGAGAAAAATCCAGAGAGAATTGTTGCTGGGACGGAGACAACTATTTACTATGTCTGTGACCCCTCCCCTCTGCCTCACCCTCCTCTCCTCTTCCCTTTCCTCTATCCCTGCTGCCCCTCCCCCAGCCTGTCCCCCAAGCCCAGGGGCTCAGTATTTATTTATTTATATAATTGCAGGGTGACTGGGGTCCTCTCTCGACAACTTGTAGAGAGGTCCTTTGAATCATGGTAGGGTGGGAAAGGGGCAAGGAGTCTTTGGAGAAAAGCAGGGGCCTGATCTTTGGTCAGTTCCTCTCTGCTAGCTCCTTTCTGGCTTCTTATCCCACTGCTGCCACCATCTCCTCCCAAATCCAAGGCTCCACTAGGGCAAGGTGACGATCCCACCTTGTAAAGATCCGATTGGCTTGGCCCTTTTTGGGGTGGGTGTCTCTCACCTACTCATTTGAAAGACCAGGTTGGAATGGGGATGGGAAGAGGTGGCAAGTGGTGAGTAAGGGAGACCAAGAAGTGGCATCTGGAAATTGAGTAGGCCCTGGAGGAGACCTGCCTCTCCTCCATTCTCAACAAGTTAGCCCCCCTTTCAGTTCTGTTTGACCCCTGTGTTGGTAGCCCCTCCCTTCCCATCCCGTACCCCCTCCCTGTCTCTTCTCGTGGTAGCGGGTTAGCGTTTCAGTGTTCTTAACTCCAATCTGCTTGTTCATTGTACAATGTGCTTCTTTTAAGGCCCCATTTTTGTAACTTGAGTGTGTCATTCATCTGAACAACATCAAAAAATAAAAAATTAAAAACTGTACAGAGAGAAATACAGCCTCTTCTCCCTTGGTCTCCTCTCTGTCTTGGGAAAGGTGGCGGGGAAATCAGGGTATGGGGTGGGTGTGTGCGTGCTGTGGAGGGGAAGGCTTTACTTCTGTTCAGGGAATGTTCAGAAGTAAGACCTGAGCAATTTTTTTTCACCAATTAAAAAAACAAGCCTCGGGGCTTCCCTGGTGGTGCAGTGGTTAAGAATCCACCTGCCAATGCAGGGGACACAGGTTCGAGCCCTGGTCTGGGAAGATCCCACATGCCGCGGAGAAACTAAGCCCATGCGCCACAACTGCTGAGCCTCTGCTCTAGAGCCCGTGAGCCACAACTACTGAGCCTGTGCTCTAGAGCCCATGCTCTGCAACAAGAGAAGCCACCACAATGAGAAGCCCGAGCACCACAACGAAGAGTAGCCCCTGCTCTCCGCAACTAGAGAAAGCCTGCACACAGCAATGAAGACCCAATGCAGCCAAAAAAAAAAAGAAAGAAAGAAAAGAAAAAAACAAGCCTTGGAACTTAGAACGAATTCAAATTCCTGAATTTAAATCTCAGTTCTGCCATTTTATATGACCTTCAACATGTGAACTTGTGTCCACATCTGTAACACAGAGACAATATGTAGCCTGTGGGGTTGTAAGAATAAAATGAGATGGCGTAGGTGCTTAGGACAGATCTCCAGCACGCTGGCTTCAATAAATGAGAACTATGAGAAATGCAGGAAACAAGTGAGTAGTTCCCTACCTCCATCCACAGAGGACTAACAAGACCCTTTACAAAGAGTTGACTTTGAAGTTGTCTGGTGGTACAAGATACACACCTGACTTCTTTTTCAGAACATTAGGTCTCTCATTCGCTCAAATTTTTGTGCTCATCTCGACTAAGTCATTTGGCAGGAACAACCATTCCACAGGCCAGACCACGGGCTGATCCCCAGGACCTCACTGCTGAAAATCTGAAATGGTGTCAATAACTGTGTGTTCTCACTGCTGTCAGGTCTTCTTGTCACTGTTCCATGCTCTAACGTATGCCTGGCACACAGGTGCTGGGATTCTGCAAATTCAATAGTAAGGGATAGGGGAACAGGAGAAAGGAAACGAGTAGGAGAGGATTTGATCATTTCGAAAGAGAAAATATATTAGTACTGCACCGTTTTGGCAAGAGAGAAAAAAAAAAGTACTTCTCCAACTCTCCAGCCAAGTCAGTAGGGATGGGGCAGTGGGATGTTGGGCTGGAGGTTCAGAGTAGTACCCGGAGGAAGGTCATTTGTTCCAGCCCCTTGACTGTAGGGGGTGCAGTCAGAACCATACAGACCCAAAAGGTCTTTGGCACCCAGGCCAGCCTGTGACAAGCACAGATGCCACACCTGAGAGCACTCTGGAGCTGAACTAGGCATCCACCTGTAGCCTTGTAAACGTGCTCAGCTGCTCTACAGGGTCTCCCCTGT